AAATACTCATTGATTATTTTTCTTATAGGATTTACTAGTTTTGTTAGATTTGATAGGAGCACCAGATCCAACATTTTACAACTATTTTAGCAATACAGAAAACTGGTATTCTTTATTAATGAGCTCCGAAAGTAAATTAGCTTCTTTAAAAAAGTTTGAATCATATTCTTATGGACAACCTACACAAACATACTTTCAACCATATTCCGTGGAAACTTACATTGAGGATGATCATATTCCCTTTTTACGTCGAGGTAAATATTGATTTTTCCATGTATATATATTGTATATTATATATATTTGATAATATATATGTATTTCAGATATTCCTATTCTTCATCTAATACCATATCCTTTCCCAAAGGTTTGGCACAAGCCAAGTGATAATCGGAATAATATCGACTTAAAGACAACTGAAAATATCAATAAAATTCTAAGAATTTTTGTAGCTTCATATTTACATATTAATATCTAACTATTGATTGAAAAATATTCATACTTTTCAAAGGAATTTTATTTTTATTATGACAATTTATTAAATAATAATACATATAATACAAAATATTAGATAACATATACAAAGGTAACAGTATTTTATAGTAAATTTTAAATAAAAATTAATTATTTTAGAGTTAGTTTTTATAAATTTAATCATTTGTACTGAAATGATTTTTGTAGTATACATGACTTGTAAGATAAATTAATGTAATTTTATGGTACTTAATTTCTTTATTTGTATACAAAACGTGAAAATTATTAAATAGAATGCAACATATTAATTTTTTTATTAGAAATAAAATGTACATTGAATGACGAAACTGTACATTGATGAATGAAACTGATTTTGATTAAAATATAAGTACTACATGGATAGAAATACAATTGCAAACATCTTTTTAAATAAGCAGGAGAAAATGGAAATTAATATATATATATATACATATGCATATAAAAGAAATCTTTCTTATGTGACTTTTGGATTAACATACAGAATGAGAATTCAAACATGTATTTTTTTGTTAAAAAACAAATTTTATGTATACAATCGTATGTACTACAGAATTTATTAAAATTTCTATCGTTTCTAACATATTTTTGAAAATTATCATTTCATGAAGATATTAATATGTTTGTCATATTTACTCTTTTCTTTTATAATCGCTCGTATAACGTAAATATAAAATTATAAATTACCTTCCCAAATACTGCACTACTGTAAAAAATTTTGAAAAGCCGATATACCTGTGTTGCGAACATTTTCACGAGTGTAACGGTCAACGATTAAATAAAATAGAAAAGATTATTTAATCGTAAAATTTGGTAAGCCTGATCGAGAATATTGTTCGTACAGGTGCGCCCAGTTAAATTTTTTTCCGAGCCTGAGCGAACACGACCGATTCCAGCCGAGCATGCTCGAAACATGTGATTGGTGGAAAGCCGACGCGACGGCGAAAGACACGAGAGACGCAAGCGACAGATGTAAAATAACTTCACGCTTCTGTCGAGTATTTCGATGGTTGTTCATTCGTTTCTCAAGTTGCACAGCGAGCTGGACCATCGTTGCGATTTGTCGATCGAGAACGATTCCTGCGATAGGTCCAGAAAAATATTGCAGAACGTTGGTTAAAAACGCGTACGTAGCTACTGACACATCGGTCAGGCGGACTGGACTTGGTGAGTGAACGAACGAGAAAGAAAGGGGGAGAGTGCGAGAAAGGGAAGAAAGAGGAAGGAAGAGGATACAGCGTGAAACACCAGAGTACTGACGTGTTGCAAACGTACCGGACGTGTGCGGCCAAACACACCGATGAAATACCGTGTTGCGATACGCGCGCGAATTTTACCGTTCGTTTGAGAATGTTTTAATTACATGGAGGCCCTCGCAGTCTTAATCGAGCCTTTCGCCAGAGTAACAACACGCCTCGACGTTACACACCTGAAGATTAGCCGTTTTTAACAGACGACTCGAGGAACAACGTCGGCAAAGAAATGTTGAAGTTTATCAGAGGGAAGGGCCAACAACCTACGGCCGAGCGGCAGAAACTGCAGAAAGATCTTTTTGCTTTTCGGAAGGTGAGTCTCGATTCAGAAAGTTTCGCTATTTCGACCCGGCGAAGTTTTTTCTTCTCCAAATTTAGAGATTACTGAGGGAAGATCACGTAGATTCACTTTCGCGACGAGACGATGTTATGACGTGTGTTGGCGTTTTTAATGGAAAGCGGCGGATACACCTGGGGAAACGTGTTTTTATTCACCGCGAAGAAAAGTGAGAGTGAATATTGGAACGTACTCGTTTTGATTTACATCTTTCTTTTTTTCTGATTTACGTCCGTTTTAGTTTCGTTTAATTTTAAAGAACGTTACAAATATAGTTTATTCGTTTTCGTCTTTTTTTTTCAATACACCTTTTCACCTTGTCGCCGAGAAAGAATGAATCGAAGAATCGAATTAGATAAACAATCTTCTCAAAAAGGTTAATTTTTCTCGAGCAATCTCCGGTTCCCTTACCCGTTTTATTTACACAGTCGTTGTTAACAAGTCAACAGGCCAGCAATTGAAAGTTTATTCCGTTACCACATCAGATAGTAATCTCCGGATATCACGATATTGACACGCGATGCGTTTTAAACAAGGTACCCTATAGACACGTAGCTTCTCTCTATATCGCTTTTTAGATAAATCTTGCCTTCGAAAAGAAAAAGAAGACGGCAAGGTAAAAAGATAATGAATATCACGACTTGAGGAGATCCATAAATATACCATGATACAATTCGCATATAGTTGAAAGAGGAAACTTGTTGAATCTTTACCTGATAAAGATAAATTAAATGAATTTCGTTTCATCGTGTTTAAACCACTGCAATCTGTCATTTGTTACGAGTTACTGAATATTATCAGTGATCACTATATAATTGTATTCCTGTATTAATTAAACTATCCAATATTGTGATATTTCAGAACGAGTATTATATTCAATTAATCTAAAAAGTTGAGTATATTTTGTTGAAACGAAGAGCTAGGATTCCTTGTAGGTTAACTGTATCATTAAATAAACAGTTTGTCAAACAGTTTAATCAAGATACAACATTGTAAAGTATAAAGTTAATTTTTATCTTCTTTCTTCTAAGCAAGTATCGAATCGATTTTGTTGAAGTAAGACGTGTTTGTCGTTCTAGGACGATTTAGAAGTGTTGATTTGAAACACTTTTGAACGGCAACAGCACATCACCACTCTCTACCATCTTTCAGGGCTCGACTTCATGGCGGAATATTAAGATTCTGAAATTGCTTTCATCTGAGAACATGATACAGCGTGTTTTAAGAATGAACGGTGCAGAATCAACAGGTCGATATCCGAATGAAATCGATACTGAAAGTCTAGAAGGCGAAGGGTGCCAGGAGTCAGAATTATTGTGGCCGTGTGTGCGGTTGTGCCGCGTTTCTTTAGCGGTTTTGTCTTCGTCCACGGTTGTCACCGTGATCGCAGGGCACTCGGGTGCACTCTCGTGAAACCTTATAGCGGTTTAATTCTTCGCCTGCTGGAGATTCGAAGTTTGACGACATGGATTGCGAAAACAGTCATGAGAGTGTGTAATCAGGTCGTGCCGGCTCTGATCGATCCTTCGTGGAAAACACTTTGCAAACTTCTTCTGTCACGACTGTTATAACCGTATATACGTATAGAGAGATAGAGGAGAAAATGTATCCATTGTATATCAATTTACCATATCGATAATTTTTATTATTGAAAATTAGCGATGTTTTTCTCGTAGCGTTGTCTCTGTTATTTTATCGTTTTACTATTCTCCTCACTTCCTCTTTATCTTTTTGGATACTGACAGGAGATTACATCGAATTATATTGAAACGTAGGTTTAATTTGTAGGTTAACCAATTGTAGGCAGAAGGAGCACGTTCTGCGCGGTAAGTCGTAAAAGAAAACCCTCGATAGGCGAGATAGGTTGCCTGTTGCATAAAGCGATCGCGTTTATGCAAATTTGGTTCAAAACTCGAATAACGTTTGATTGCATTACATCATCGAATGACGGTTAATTAGAAAAGACGTGAAACGACAAAAAAATTAGAATTTTTGTTAGAATCTTTGGGACAAAAGAAAAAGGATTTGGATTTTATTTGAGACGTTTTAATACGTATTTTTGGAATACTCGAAGTACGTTAAAACGGAATGGGTTGATTATATCGGCAAACAAAACTGTTTGATCCCTAACATCGATTTTATCTATCGGTAATTCAACGGTACTTTTTGTGGAAGAAAAAAGATACGAGATTTCTGTGCAAACAGACGCACGATAAAAGATGCCTAGCCCTTTTTACGTTTGCTTTTACGCGCGTTAAATGTACCGTTAGAGACTAAGCAAGAAGCTGGTTTAGATACGGACTGACCCATGCGAATGTTATTCCGGTAATACATGATTTAAAACGAAAGGATAGCTAAAGAAATATGCATATGTTATTTTAGTAAATGTTAAATAATTTAATAAATATTCCACAGTATATACTGAATAAACTTTAATGAATAATTTTCACAGGTACTGACGGTAGGTAATGTAGATAGTACATTATGTTATATAAAAAAATAATATATTTTCTCAATTAAAATAATTATTCTCTTTGTAAAATATATATTCGTTTGATTGCCAAATATATAACAAATAATAAATTCGCGATGTTTCGAATATTTCAGAAGAATGTCCGCCTTATACCGTTGAAGAAATGTCGCGGTGGATTATTGATCAAACAAGAACTTTTAATGCCTTCAAGATTAGATCTTCAAAATTAGATCATAAATTTTCCGTCGAATGCGTTTTTCATTTCTTAGAAGCAATTGTAGAGTAAAACTTCAAATTACATTAACTTGGCAAGTATTAAGAAATAGAATTAACAAGAGTAAAAAGTCCTTCAAAATTTCACGATCACAACTGCTTTTGTAAATTGTTTCTTTCCAGTGTGCACGAGCAAGAGCAGCATTACGATCGATATTTATACTTCGTTAACGTAGTAATTTTAATCGAGATTAGGCTCATTGAAATCAAGTTAAAACACTGGGGCTAGGCCAGATTAAACCTTACGAGGGAAATCCTTTGTTATGCTTGTGCCAATTCGTACTTTTCATTTTAATTCCTGTGATACGCTTTGTCAAAATTCAAAAGTGTATGTATGTATATATATATATATATACTTACTATATATACTATATATATACTTACTATATATACTATATATA